TTGCTGGTGACCCCCACATTCAGGCCTGTGGTGCCTTACATTCAACAGCAGTAAACAAGTAATTCGGCCACACCAACCGTTAGCTAACGCCTGATGTGCTGTTCGCACAGTCCAATGATAACGCGCGACGATATATTCCATGAATATTCCACATAGACGGGCAAGTTTCTGCAAGTGGGTTTCATAGCAAACATTCTGGTAAACCTGAAGCAGCTACACGAAACATTCCCCAGGAGAAAACTCAATCGAACAATGGCACAGTAAGGGAAGAGGCAAGTGACCTCTCAAACAATGTCACACTCTCACCGCTTTTGACGCCACTGCTCCAAACTGCATACCAGCTGACTTCGACAACAGTGAGTGAGCAGCAGTCACATCGTTCCTCCGACAGGCTGTGAGTTGGCCTCGATCTTGTGACGCGGACACACCGCACGTCTCTGAAGTCTCACCTAGATAGGCAAGTGCTTGCAGGGCTGGGTAGAGCGACCCCAACTACCACCCACACGTGAGTACACGTAGACACCACGTGAATTTGAAGAGCATGCCTGCTAGTTGCTGAGTTTCAGTGCCGAACGCGGTGTCATTCCCCTCCGTGATGCGCGGTCGATCTGCACCTCACCCAACAGGTGGGTCTGAGTTCAAATGATTTCTAGCGTACTATTCCGTGTATTTGTCTGATATACAATTGGTTGATTTGGAATTTGTCACTCGACGAACGATGCACATTTAGAGACGTTCGCGCCCGTTGGATGCAATTTGATAGAGGTAAGAGCCATTCTGAGACATTTACGATGGAACATGACCACCTTGTGGAGGAATTTGATTCCGCTGTGGATGTGATTCACTGAGATTTAGTCACTAAAACTTCCAGGTTTTGAATACTGTATGTGCATGAACCTTCCTATCAAATGACTGTACGTTGGTGATTGTAGGAAGGAGCAATACTGCCAAATGGGAACGTCCAGTGTGAGCCCGACGAGAAGTGAGCATGTATCGATGAACTAGGTTGAATTGTCCAAGTGAAAGTGGTAGATTTAGATTGTCATGGTCCGAGAGGAAACAAGTCACTTGATTTGCAGACGCGTCCCCTCCAAACACATGCCTTGGTTACAACACGGGTTTCCTCATGACATACAATGTGTCAAAATCACAAGTGAAAAGAATTACATTAAAGAGTCGATTGTGAGACAGCCAACTGAGTGGTTCAGTAGAATACAGGCGGAGGTCGGGGGAAGACAAAACGGGTATTGGTTAATTCGTAATGAATTGCCAGTCGTTCTAAGCTGTGCTTCAAGCTAAGGGAGGTTTGAGTACAGCGATTGCGGCAGGTAACATAAATTATCAATTCGGTTGCCTACCGGTACTGAATCAGTGTCCCGGAGGTCGCACTGGCGACAGCAGTCGCTCGTTTCAGCTGTCCGCAGGCGTAAGTTTTGTAGTAGCAGCACAGCATTTTAGTTACATGTCCCATCATCAACAGCACACCACTTGGGCTCAATTTAACCGTCTAGCAATAAGCTACGATAGGCTTTGATCAACGACTATCGAGCAAGCCGATATAAACCGCAAATCGAGTATGCATGCATATCCTTCATCGCTATATTAACGACTAGATTTGCAATGACTGTGGTAACAAGACGGATCCGAACTACAAAGCTGGCTGCCAGTAAAGGATGAGGTATACGAACGGAACGACTGTTGAAATCGCCTGACAGGAAGTGTCCGAAAAGCCGTGGAACTCTTCGGCACTCACTAATTTGCTTCGGAAAACAAAGGAAAAGTAACTTAGTGATCAATTTTAATGTACTAATGAGTAGTAGTGAAGCTGTTGGCATAAAGCAGCTAATTCATCATCGTCACTCTCAATCAGCAGGCTTAGGCTAGTCTGGAAAAGCACCAGACGCCGGTGTTTCGACCTACTGGGTCTCGTCAGTGGTGCGCCTCCCAGCGGACCCCAGCCGCTGGTGTTTGGATGTAATCCTAGGGTGGAAAGCGGATGTTGCTATTTTCAGAGCATACTTGCACAACCAGTGAGATGCAAACTGTGCCCGTTGCCGAGACGTGGTGCTTCTCCGATACATTAGACTCTGCTCTAATGCTTCCTAATTAGCATCTTTTCCGAAAAGAACACTGCGCAAGAAAAGGAGAATGATGCATGGTATATATACACCATACATTTACAACAGAAGTCTTTGAAAATCCCCGTCTGGTAAATGTCCCAGAATCTCTCTATCCGTTACATGAGCTTCCTCCTACCCATGTCACTTTGCCATTCGAGTTTGCACCTGGGATACCACATAGACAAAAGGTGATTACCGATGAGTTCAAGCTACCAAAGGTAAGCTGGTCGTCTCGGCCATCCTCAACTATGCGTACAGCTTTCCTTTCTTTTGTTAGATTAAGTGATTGAACACAATGGGTTATTAAGCCAAGGAGGTGGACTTATATACTAGACCTGATATGTACAATGGAAGTAGCCAAAGCACAAACAGAGGTCCAAAATAATTTCTTCGGACACCAGAAGAAACGAATACGGTTTAACATTCATGGAAATTCACCAATTCTGAGCTGGTTGAGTACCAGATAGTACGAGCAGACAATCTGTGGTTCATTTATCTCACAATATGCATACAATTTTAACTAATTAAATCGTTAAACTCCTCACTCATCCCATCCTGCAGCATAAGCTGTGACAGCATAAGGACATTTAGTAGAGCGGCTACAGCGAGCCTACGACGGTCCTTCAACAAACGGCTATTTAGCCAACATTATACCAAGAACTATCGGGGTGATTTCAGCAACACCATCTCGATCCCCTTTGGTTCTGAAGGTTGAAGCATAACTTGTTACTTCCGTACAGTCTAATTCACGGCGATGTGTGTTGCAATGGAAGCACATTAATATTGTAGTACAGGTAAGCTCGGGAGGTAAGCTCTGGCTATACCGAGATACAGTATAAATATGTGGTTCAATTTCTATCTAATCGGACTTGTTCTGTTGAACTGACTTCCAATCACAATCAGGTCGTGGGAGAGAGCGCAAGCATTCCGTAATAAGATGAGAAGCTACCTTGACATGAATAGGATTATAATCTTGCTTTCGTAGGGAGATCGCCTGAGGATCCGTTTAATGAGTTCGGATAACATCTAATGGGTAAGGTAAGGAAAATGAATGTACAGTAAGCAGCCCTCCATGTCTACAATATCTTCAAAGCCCAAAAATGTTCTCCACTTTAAAGTACAACACGCACATGTGAGACATGCGCATTGAATGGAGCGACGTAGTTGGGGACACTGAAGTGGTGCGTCGAAGTGGAATGTATGCAGTGGACTGCATAGTTTTGCTGAGATACCTGAGGTGGCTCGGTCATGTGAGCCATATGGATTCGACGCGGATACCGAAACAACTCTTATATGGTCAGCTGAGTATGGGGAAGCGCAACGTGGGGAAACCAAAGTTACGTTCCCGAGACATGATCAAAGTGAGCCTCTCACGTTCTAATCTTGATTGCAGGTCATGGGAATCGAAGGCGGTTGATCGGCGTGCATGGCGCGATCTAATCACGAAGGCATTTGCCGAAGTGCGGGAGAAAGACCTCATACATGCAGAGAAGAAGCGGCAAGTGCGGAAGCGGCAAGCACCGATGGGTTATACTTCATCGACATCGAGCGCATGGTGCTGTAGCACATGCGGTCGCAAATGTCTGAATCAGGCACGCCTAGTGAGCCATGAGCGAGGCCACTCGGGACCACTACCGAAGAGACGACGGGTCCTGCTGAGAACGTAGGCAGAACCGGCGTAGCGTTTGTAGGTACGCTGCATTCGATTAACTAACCGCGTGCTTGCACGCTAAGTCTACTTAATTCAGGTGGTGGGTTTTCAATTTTGTCCTAATGCTTTTTTCTCAAGTAAATGTCCACCTTTACTCACTTCTATTAACTTGTCCACGTCGCTTAAGCCAATGGTAGGTAATTTCGATAACATTTTCGGGTTTGCGTCATTTCCGTAAAAATCCTTTCTGCCCTGGTGAACATATCTCGGATTCTTTTGTAAACAACTTATTTCATATAGTGATTAATTTAACATTTATGCCATCGTTTCCTTATACATTACTCGATTTATTTTCTTTGTTATGTTTCTCTCAAGTGATTGCTTGTTGCTTGATATCCCCGGTGTGGCTGCGCTTGATGTGCATGTTGACAAGGTGCCGACCTGTCTATTACCCGCTACCTCGTCCATACTGGCTCCGGAAGACAGTTGGTCGTCGCTGGAGGAGACGGGGTGCACGGTTCTTGTGGACGTGCTACGATCAAAGTGTGGTTCCACGCACTCAGTGTGGAGCGGACAACGGTCCAGCCACCGCCTTGTGTGCACTTGATTCCCCAAATACAGCGTGCTTATGTTTGCCTGTGAAGGAGTGTGGGCCGGTTCCGTTGATGAAACGTGGCTCCCATCCACATACCTCCCGGCCTTATTCCTTCGGGTTTACACTAGATATGGGGTGTGTGGCTGGTGCAGCGCAAGCCACCCATTTTCCCTCTGTGAGCGCAGGCGTCCTTTGGCTGGCCACAGTGACAGACAAATCCGAAACCGGATGTCGCCAACCATATACATATACATATATATATATATATATATATGTATTTATATATATGTATATATGTATATATATATATTTCTCAGGTTGACATGCTTGATTTAGGGCAAATGAGTACAATTCCTCGAACGGGTCGGTTTGAATCAAAATGGAGGGAGTGAGCATTCTGTTAAACGTTACACGGAATTCAGTTTGAAGTATAGGGCCCTCCATATATGAAAGGAATAACACGTGTGTAGCAAATAAAGACAAATCCACGCAAGCCAATTACTTGGTTCCTGGGCTATAGAGAAAGATGATAAACATTCAGAAACATGCATTTCTGTATAGATATTTTCAACAGCGAAATTATGTCAAAGAGGTTGATACGAGAAGGAACATGACATAGTGGAACGCAGCTTACTTGTGGTCGTCTCTTCAGGACCTTCGCTTTTTCTAAAATCGAAGACAACATTAGTTAGACTGTAAGTAATGAGGTTGACTCGATGCACAATGGCCAATCAGTTGAGTTGTAGGTGCATTATAATTCCTGACATTTCAACACACAGTCAGAATATCGGCAACGAGGGCCACACAGTTGGAGACGTGAGCCGTGATAGCCACACTGTCCCTACGCGGATGCTGAATAGGAGGTAACGATTCACGTGTAATGAAACTGCGGATGCACTGGCTGCCACCGAAATCGGGCCAATTGACTGACTGCAATCTGACACAATGACATCGTTCGTTTGCCTCATCCTTCATTTGGTCACAATCCGAATCCGGTTTATTTCTCACCAATGAAAATGGCTGGGAGAAACTTTTGATTTTATACTTAGATCGTGTGGGTAGGCTCGATACTACACCGGTAGCAGCCAAACAGCTTTGGTGGAAATAACATTTTATGATCCAGACGTATGGGATGAAGGAGATGACGTCGAAAACATCAGGAGCTCAACAATCGTAAAGGAATAACCGAATATATAGTAACTTCAAATCGAAATGCACGAGACGCGTAAGCAAAGGCCGTATGGAGGGAGTTGGAGCGATAGCAGCAGACTCCAGCCTTAAACAGGTTTTTGTTAACAGTTGGAAGTAGGCAATTTAATGCTGCTTAGTGAGCATGAAACATGAGTGTCCGGAAAAAGTGGGCATTCTGTCTGGGTTGTTTCTTTTGATCAATGAGTTCACAACTAAGCTCGCAGGATGTTCAAATTTTCCAGGCAAGGGAACGGTATGTTGGCAAGCTAGGGAAATGTTTTTATCAGGTGTCAGATGCAAGGTAAATGTGCTGATAGCACCGATAGTTGATTATACTTTGTAGTAGAAAATAACCGAGCGGATAGTCAACGGAATAAATTATAATCAGAAGGATCATGGTATGAATTTAGCAAATAGGTATGATTTCATACGACTCTTGAAAGGAAATTGTCTAAAACTTGACTGGTACTGGGTCGTCACGTAAACAACCATTTTCACCTGCCATTTCTTGTTTCAATCAATATTGTAGAATACAAACAATGGTTGTGAAAGCATGGAAACGTCTTCATCTTATTCGGCGGATACCTGTTGCGTGCATACTCCGAATATTTGCATATCTATTTTCGCACCCTACAGGTACGAAAGCAAAATTGCGACTCGATCGCGGAACGTGGAGACTGCTGGTTTATGAGATTACCAATACAACGCTTATCACAACGAATCAAGTGTTAATATCGTCTAAGTGATTGTGTTTGAACAGACAGACATACACAAACCGAAGGTGACAGAAAAAACGTAGTCACCAGAGAAAATGAGGGATTCATTCAGCCATAGTCGCGGCGTTTGGTGCTTGCCACGGGACCTAATAATGCTAGTTGATTGCTGGACTTTGGCGGTGACAGGGAGATACCCATCGAAATGTTAATAACCAGCTACTACTAAAAGAAAGCTTAAAATGAAGATGAATGCAAAGTGAAGATCAGGCAACACCTATCCCAAGTGTATGCTACGGAATATCCTACTGACAGTACTATTCTCATTTTAACTATTAAAAGTTTGCCTTTGAAGGGAGTCTTAATCGACGGTACTACGCGCGGCCAAGTGAATTGAGTTGCAGGAGATCTGGCAAATCAATGGACAAGGGAAGCAATATGAGAAGAAAGTGGGAGGTAATTCGAGTGTAGGATATAAAGGTGGTGAATTCACGTAAACCAAAACAGATGCAGCAGAGAAAACCCACTTTGTAGTGGCGCTGACTCAGCGTAAGTCGCAGTGTAGACTCACCAAATAGTTCCAAGCAGTAAATGAGTACCTCTAGGTTGTATAGTACGAGGTAATGATCAGCATATCATAGCTAGATGCTGCAAAGAAATGGACTTACTCCGCAGCTTTCAGGAAGGCAAATGATTGCTTTTGTTCTCGTCTCCACATGTGGGATAAGCGGAATCGCCTTCTAGCCCAACTTTCACCAGTATGCGACTTTAAATTGCTGCGATGATGCGTGGGTCCAGACTCCAGCTTGGTTCGAACCAAAGGAGTTATGTTGAAGGTAAATTTATCCCGAATCTCCTTCAATGATGGGGAAGGAAACGGACCCATTTGATATATCTCGAACAGGAATTCGCGTGTACTCACGATGCGACCTTTGGCAAAGTCCGACATAAAACTGCCCATCGTTCCATAGAACTGATCGGCCGACTTGAGCTTCATCAATCGACTTGAAAAAGAGACCAAAATAAATACAGCAATGTTATGAAAGAGCGTGGCAAAAAACGATAGATACATCTTCCGTAGAAGACAAGTCGTTTTAAGGCTATACAAAGTCAACCTTCAGAAACGTAAGTCAAAGAAGCCAAAATTATGCTCCAGTTCGTGTACAGAAGAGCTTCGTGAAGAAAGAATGATAGTATGGCAAACGAGAAATGTCTGATAGCCTGCATTGTCACAACGGCTGTGAAACACTAATAATTGAAATACTTGGTGAACCTGTACCCAATGGGGTTGGCTGTGAAGTCAGGCGACAACCACATGTGCGCTTGATTATATACGTGACCCACAAAAGCTAAGCACGAAGTGAAAGACCGTGTCTGACGTGTTCGGACAATGTGTGGCATCGTGGAGTTTCCGCTGTGCATTCGGAATTCGGTTTGTAATCTCAATTCAGACTATGATATACTTTGAAATGAACCTTCCTCATTCCAACAACTACGACCGAGTCTGGACTGGCTTTCGGTGTCATTTGCTTTCAATCTGGCACTTAACTACTGGTTATGTGCTCGTCTGGGTTTTTCAATTAGCTAAGCGGAGGATGGAGTGAAAGTCCGGGTATAGTGGTTGATAGCTGATGACTTGATCATCAGACCCATGAGCTACACGAGTAACATTTGGTGCAGCCTCCAGGAATTCACTACGGGGTTTCGGAGCACCCGACGTGTGTTGTAACTGTGACAAACAATCTTCAAAAGTAAAAACAGCAATATGGATGTCTTTCAGTTGTCGAAATGTGCGAAATTCACTTCGTAATGAATCGAAGCTTAAATGGAGGTTGTTTGTTGCAATCCTACATATGACGGGCTCTCCAAAGCCCAAACAGAATTCCTGAGCGGTGTGCTAACCGCTGACCTCCAATGCCAGTCGCGTAGGGACCCAGACACCATCAAAAATCAAGCATTATGTCCCGCAGTCTACTTCTGACTCAACTTGACGAGCTAATACACTGACAAACCAGATCGTGGAGTAAATTTGCTAAGCGCGAGCAACAACGCAACGATCAAAACCAAAATACTGAGAACCAGATTTCACTGTTCAGTTGAAAGTTGGATTGTGAGCGTGACAACTAGATTTGGAGAGGCTGTAAGCGTAATGCTGGGTGACATCACTAGTTAGAGCGATAAAGACGCACATTTAAAGGCTTCATGAATGTTACGCAAGATGACTGAGAGATAGAGGGCGGTACGATATGGAGCAATATCTGAAAAGTAACGGAGTCACAAATAGAAAATGAAGAAGTGCGAACACGTACTCAGTGTAAATAAAGTAGGCCAAGGTAAGTAAAGTGAGTTTGTTTGGGGCCGTCTGGAACAACACCAGCCAAAAGGATGAAGCAGCGAACATTCGCGAATAGATGGTGGGATTATTACGGGGCTATTCATTTCCTTTCCAAAACTTGAGGGCTAGCTCGACGGCATCGCGTGTCATGCAGACCACACACATATGGCAGAGGTCCTAGGTTCTTGTACTCATCACACTTAAGAGGAAAAATGCAGTGTCACAGTACGTAACATATTGTTTGCAGTTAATAAAATAAGGTGTGTTCCAAATGGTGAATAATTCTTGTTTCAGTCATGTAAAGACGGATCAACAAACAAGTTTCGTTTTCGGTGATTTACCACACAACGAGAGGTTTGTCTGAACGCGTCCGCGAAGATTGAGCAAAACCTGCACCATGGTGATACTCGCATACCTAGCCCAAAAGAATCATACCGCCGTTATCTCTAAAGCCTTTCGTTCGATATAACGTGTGAGGCGTGTCCATTCCACTTGACGTCGAATTCATGCATTGGCGGAGGAGGTCACATTTCGTCTCAACAATCCCGCGTTGTGTGTGCACCAACAATTCGTCAAGTTGTGGCGCTAGTCAGAGCAGCTTCCGCTTGAACAATTCAGATCCATGTAGGGAAATCTAATGCATTCATCTGCTATTGACTCAACCCGCTCTTGCTTAGCTTAACCATTTAATTGCGTCGTACTTGGCCTTACGAGGAATCAATGAACAATGAGCTAGGCTGCTAGACAGTCTCTTCATGACAAAATATGGTGCGGATACGTACGAACGACAAAAGTAGGCATTCATGGTAAAACCAGTATTTAAACGAGATGATGACACAATGCCCAGCTTACGTTTTCAGTCACCGAACAAATTCATTCCGTTGCACAACGCTGTATCGGTTGGAGGCACTGGTCTGACCGCAAAAACATATAATTGTCAAACTACTTGTATGACATCAGTAGCTGCTTTTAACGTACGTTTGTATCAGAGCTATTATTTTCTTACTTGTGGTGGGTTTGGTAGCCCTGGGGGAGAGGTCGTTTCAATCGGGAAATAGTATGGAGATAAGATGTAATAACTATTAGTAAAAAAACGGACACTTCCTTTGTTTCCTCAAGCCCTCTTTGTGAGACCGTTTTGACTCAACCCCCAATAGGCTAACTCAAGTCGAAGGGTGTGACCTAGTGTACCGGACATTTTCACTGCGGTGCCTGCGTTCGTCTGAAACAGTGCTGAATTCGCTTTACCTTCACATACCTGGCTCAGGGATTTGGAGCCGGTTCTTGAACAAGCCCCTGGTTCCATCTCCTTGGTTGGCCACTGTTAATGCGCTTCTGGAGGAGCGGATAGCTGAGGTGTGTGTAGCAAGGCCTCAACCGATGGCTCTATGCCCCAGCAACGTCTAGGCTAAATAGCAATGTCAGCATATTGTCCGAATGCTATTTACAGATAGCGGTTGACCAATCAGGGCGCCGTACATGCAAGTTTCCTGACTATCAGATTATAGTTTTTGCGCTAAGGATGCAGGCTGCTGCATTATGGATGAAAGCGATTGCGCGAGGGATGTAATCAATTGAGAAATAGTATGGAGTTGTGATTGATTCCGAGTAAACCCTGTACGTTTGTTGAAATCGATCGAGAACATGATAACACTGTCGAAGCGAAATTCACTTCTGTTATTCAGCCTGGCTTCTGTTACTAAACAAAAGTTAAGGTAACGCTGAGCATGCCTCCAGGATGTAAGCCAATCTCCAGCGCTAAAAGACCGGTACCGCATGCTACCCTGCCAAAGATTCTACCAGTAGCTTGACCGTCTTGACCGAGCCGGTATCAGCACACCATGCAGTGCACCAATTGCTGCAGCAATAGGCAAGTCTGATTAGATTTCTCACCAGATTTAGACACCGCTTTTGATGATCACCATCATACACCACCAAGGAATGAAGATTTCCTTGCTAAGCCGAACGTGTCAAATGATTTCTCAGGCCTGATTTGTCTGAATTTTGCTCCGGATGGAGACTGTCGAAAGTATGAGGGGTTGTTAATAAGCCACGCGTATCCACAACCGTTTCGTCGTGGAGTCTTCGGAGCAGCTATGTTATGTTTCTGCTAGAAATACCAGAGCTGGATGGAATATTCCACATGCAACCTCATGTAAGCGTTGGAAAATTAGTGAAAATATTGTGGAATAAAGACGGTCAAATGTCCTTCTCAAAATGTTCGTTTTGACTAACTGTCCACTGCTTTCTTCTTCTGTCTTGAGCAACCGAGATCGTCCTGCACTGGCAGCCCAAGACCGCTTCCGTGAGAAGCACCTTGTACAATGTGCTGTCCTATCCGATATTCACATGTTTTCTGTTGATAGGTACTCAATCTTTTACATTTGTTAGCGTTATTGGGCATATGATGAGCTGACCACTCTCAAGCCCAGTTGATGTCGTCTTACACTGCTATGTGATTGTCTGCTGTACTGATGGCCATTCAAGTTTTGGGATCTCTGTAAAGGGTAGAAACTGTGAGGTGATCTTTCCCTGTATAGCCGTGGCCCCAGTACCCAGTTTAGTGGGACAGAGTCTTGCGCCTCTACCGCGTCAGACGAAGCACTACGAACTTTCCCATTCGAGCGGAGTCGGGGCAGAAATGTCTGTATAAAACGCAGGACGGAATCATAGATCCCATGGTTCTGATACTTGTAAAAAATGGGCAATGAGCTAGGCGATCAAAAACCTAGGAGAATTAAAGGTAAACAGAGTCAACTCCTTCTTTAGAATATAAGTATTCAGCCTGCGTACTAACAAAACTTGTGTGGTGCTTGAGCAGCATTGGTGGAAGCTGTGGTGCTCCGGTACTAGGCCCGTGCATTTCCCAAATACCCCATGAGCGCTTCTGCAATGATAGATGCCGTGACTGTAGAAAGAGCCGACAGAAAAGTTACAAGGCAGTGATCTCGAGTTAAGCACGATTTCACCTACTGTAAAGGGAAGAACATTCCATATTTCCAACTTGCAGGAACCGTGGTGTCATGGACATAAACTTGAAAAATCGAGAAAGCGATTCGGCTAAAATCGGGACAGCTACTTTCTATGAAATTGGGTGCAATTTATCCACACAAAAAGTACTCACGCAATGACAAAAGCGCATATGTGGCAGTGAGGGAGATGCGCCTAAGCCCTAGTGGTGGCGTGATCTGTCTCAAGGTAATATGATATGTCGGCACGTATTCCAAATCACAAGTTCATTGTTGCCTAAGAGCGTTGGCTGCTTCTTGTACAGTTTGCACATACCCACAGGTATTTGCAGCAGGAATTGCTAGCTGCAATCTGCAGAGTTTGTTGAAATTGCTGTGAAGTAACTCAGGGTTGGAGGAAAACATATTCGCTAAATCCTCTTCATGTTTCAAGTTATCCTCGCCAACCGGTCTACATAATTGTTCCGCTCGGGTATGTAAACCCCCCCCCCAGTTCTTGGCGTTTGGAGAAAATTTGTATGGTTGCCAAAATGAATCTTGCAGTCAAATGTTCCCGCGCCCTACTCCAGACGAAGAACATTACATTTTTGAGCTATGGATTTGAGTCTACGATGAGCTTGTTAATAGCGTGCTGAAATGATTGAAGAATTCCACCCAAGCGATATCGGGAGATTGTATTGTTAGAAATGACCAATCAATGATCTTACTGAAGTCCGATAAAGTGCTGTTATGCGTTACTATGCGGACCTCTTCGATATCCCCGTTGAAATGTTAGGCCTAACAGTGGTATCGGAAGGGCAGTGTTGCATGATCACTGCACCCCAAGGGACAACTCACTGGTACTGTGTCGATCATACGATTAGCAATGGTAAAGACGAGGTTGAGAATGGCTGATCTGATACTCGTTCTAAGTCTCATAGGAGACGTAAACTGACTAAAAAGTGATAACCCGGCGGCTAGTTCTTGCGGTTGGGTCGTAATATGTTCACCAAGGGAGGTCGAGACCTTTAGAGCGTGCAAGCTGAAGTTCCCCACAAGGAGATCGTGAGTGTTAGGCGGAGCCAGAACGGTTTTCAATACAGAAGCTAGACGGTTGTCTATTTCTAGAGTTGGCATGGAAGGATGGTATACGAGGATAACCACCTGTGTCACTACGTCTTAACTGCAGGCAGTAACAAACTTTCCATAAATTGAACCTCTGGGTCGCCAACGATTTTGAAATAATAGTCAGTACGATGGTGTGAAATTGCAGCACCTTCCTTACCAGGTCGATCTTTAAGTATGATGGACATTCCTAGTGCAGCGACCTTGGCAGCAGTGATTTCCTCGTTCAGCTTGATCTGAATTATCATGACTAGGTCCCAAAACGTGTGAGCTGGACGAGAATGAAACCCAGATAGTTTGATGAAAAGTCCTTGTGGATTGGTGTACAAACAAGAAAGAACTTCGAAAGTTAGAAGTGTGTCTGAGGGTGCGGGTGACAAGTGCTGGATTAAGCCGACACTTGGGAGGCCAGCAACTAATCAATTTTTGTGTGAACTGCTGATAGTGTACTTTGAGATGCTTTATAATGGCTAGAATAAGGCTGGTAAGATAAAGTTTCGCTTCTAGTGAGCATTGGGTAAGTTGGTGCTCCCACGGCAGTTGCTTTTGCCCCAGAGTAGTCTGTACGGAAAGTAGAATTTACCAGTCTGCCGTTATACCAAAAGGACTTTGCCCACCCTCGGTCAACAAGGGTGTGGTGTTGAACGCATTTAGGCAAAGCTGTGAGAGCAGATTTCTACATGATATGTTCCACGTTTCGAGTGCCTCAGCAGACATTAGTTTGGACTGAAAGACAACTTCATCACATTGAGGTCACACTCTTAAGAGTTTGATGATGGTGTTAGCCTTGTGATAGCTTTTGCAATCGCGTTATCGAGTGAAGGTGTCTCACGGATGTAACGCTACTCCTCCAACCTACTGAATAAAGACTACGTCTGGAAGTAGATGTAGGTGTGTCGGATATCACGGGTAGAGGAAAGTATATTAAAAGTAGAGATAATTATACTCTTGGACATTGTGGTGCTACATGGGTCAAATGGGCGGAAGTTGGTATGATAAATACATTTCTTACCTCGCTAGAAAGTCCATTATTACAATGGCCGTTCGTAGGAGCACTTCAGAACCTTCGAGAAGTATGCTGTCCCATACGCGCAATACCGCATCGGGAGCCAAACAAGTGGCGAAGAGAGTTAGAAACCACTGAATGATATACACGTTCATCAATGGCGGTTCGTATGGCCCTTGAGGCTGTCCAGCAGGGGACCCAGTGGAGTCCCTAGTGGGAGGGGTATCTGAGGCAAACTTTGCTTTTGGAGCAGCTGAAGCAAAAGGTAAAGGTAAAGGAACTTCTAATGGAGCCAAGAACAACAGATGAAGCGTTATAGAAAATGGCGCCGATAGTTGTAATTACTGATGAACAAAAGGTAACCATGATGTAATATATTGCTGCCAACACTAGCAGCCCAGATTATTAGTTAGAGTATTTTATTGAAGAGTGACGACACTCTCCCAACAATGTGTAAGATAATTATTCCATCAACTTACAGGTCTTGCCCTGCAGCCTATCCAAATGAACAGCCAAGTTCGGAAGTCGTAATTCCAGCAGGTGCCGAAACACGGCGATGTCGACAGACAGAGCCTGTAAGTTCTGAGCAAAGTACGACTCCGGGAGTACGTAGTCTATCAGATAAACCATGATCTGAAAGTGAAGCGATAAACATTGCGGCTGTGATGTAGGCGTTCAAAAACTGTCATGAAGTAGGCCCATCGCAAAGGATCACAACGTACAATGCTGACGAAATCCCAGATCAACAGTAGCTGAAACACTCACTGGAATTAATCAGTGTGAATTGATATACCTACTGCGAGTTACTTGTAACTGCATATTGTAATCCATTCACACTAGCGATGATAAAATATCGTGATTTCAAAGGGTTGGAAACAGCCGGTCGGTGTAGTTGTTAAGTAGTGTTTCACTGTTGACGCAAAAAGTTTCACTAGGTGCGGGAAACGGTTTAGAATTGCGGTGGTAGCCTATAGCGAGATTGATAAGCGCAATATCAGAAGCACGGGTCATGTTGAATCTACAGCCATTGGTTGTGATGTCACCAGGGTGGAAATGTACGTCGAAATGACAGATAAGGACACAGTAGTGACGATCAGGATCTTGCTTCCCGTTACCCATTGAATTTCTAAGGTTGCGAATGTGTGATGACTGTCTGGCTTAGCCTAGCTGCGAAGAATCCACCTATTGAACAGTGGGCTTATAATACAAGTTTATACACTTTCAAATGTTGAAAAGCAATCTGTCTTATCAAGAACCGAGAATAGGCGGCAGTTATTTCAATCAGCTCCAAAATTGAGCGACGGACGCAGCCAAAACTTCATGATCTCACTTCGCGAATGTCTGGCGTCGCGGGTCTTGTATAATGGGTGTTTGATCTAGTGCGGTTATGTAGTGCAGAGAAGGATGGGAGTGAAGGTGAGGTCAATGGCCGCCGTTCGTAGAACTGTTGGATAAGTGCAATCCACTGAGGAGTAGCGGTGGCGACAAGTGGCGGTGAAGTGGATTAAATGCGATCACTATTAGGCAAATGATGCACCTGTTCTCCGAGCGAATTCCGGTTATATAGACTGTATAATCCTGTGCTTTCCGGTACCAATCGTCCACATTCAAGCTTATTTATCTGTGGGTACACCTAGCGTGTAGAACATGCAAGCTACCACCGTGAAACAGGAGACCCTGTGACAACAGCCATGTCTGTGATCAAGAGGGCTCCTTTTAACTTTGGCAGTACATGTAAATGCGACCGGAATGTGGAAGTGGAAGCTGGCTTTCATACTCATCTAGGAGAGTTAGTGCAGCTACAGAAAATGCGGGTGTCTATAAGGGCCAATAGGCTGACAGACAGAAGCGTCAATGTTGTGTTCCGGAAAATTGCGAGATAAACGGAACTGACGTGGCGCCAAACGCAATGCTGCCATGGACTCCAGTTGCTTTGAGATGGCAGTGTATTTTTCGTCGAGTATGACTGTTTCAACGAAAGTCTTTCGGCGTTCAGTGAATCGGGACCAAAATTTCATTAATGAGGCACATGAGAATAAAAGCTATGAACCGTCTTTTGGCGCTTCGCAATATCCAATTACTACATTTGCGGTTCAGTGAAGTTCGCAGGCACGGCCATTAAGCGCCCTTAGTGAAATTCCCCGAGCAGATTCACTGGATGTATATTGAAGATGAAACCTGATTAGTCAACCAGAGGGCAGTCGTACCATTGGTAAACTAAATTCTGGGGATGAGATCTGTTAAACGGTGAAAGTAAGAGTTACGTGCGGACAATAGCCCCGAGAAAACTCCGTTGCACGAAATATCATAGGTGACTTTCATTTCACAGAAGTGCAGTCTCTCAACTCAGCAACATGGATATGTTTAAGAAAACGTACTTTGAATGCCTCTTTTTCATCCCGATTCATCACATCCAAGATACCGGCCGCAATAACGTTGAAACCCTGACAGTACCCAACACGTTTGTTCCATCGGGCGTAGGCTAAGAGAACACGTTCCAGGGCCGCTTTGTCCTCTTGTGAGCCGAACTGTACACAACCGGTACGATGCAGATCTTTTATGATCTGCGACTCTAGGTCCTCGTCCTTCTGATTGGAGCGACTCCGAAACCCTATACGAAGCGCGCGGTTCCAATCCACGTGTTGCTTGGTGAGCTCATGGTCAGCCAAGTGAGACCATACACGGTGACGAACAAATCCAGGCAGACCGTCCCCCAACGCAGCCATGCGACAAACGGCTGTTCTCCATTCGCGAAACGCCTCTTCGCTGCTTGCTCGAGGTTCCATGCGGAACTGGAGAGTTCGATCGTGACCTGAGGGAGTGACAAGAAAGTGAGCAGTGACCCGATATCAGTTAGTTCAGAATATCTATCTATTGCTAACGCAAGTAAAAAAAGAAAGAGTCCAAAGACAATACAACTCTTACTTTGCAGATTACAGCAGCCTGCTAAAGAACGGGGGTTAATTGCACATAAGCCTAAAATATAAGGCGTTTTAAAGTTGCTTGACAATTGGTTGGAGAGAAAGGAGCAGTGGCTGAGTCAGTAGGGACGAATGTAGCCAAGTCATTTGGGCGTGAACAATGATTTGATTGTTACAACTGGCAAACAGAGAAGACAGGATGAACTACATAACATTTTACCTGATGTTTCAGCTACGAACAAGCCATCCATGGTGATTTTCGCTTAAGTTCACCTGATCTTTTTAGCATTTTCACTCCTAGTTAGCATGGTGATGTCAGCCAAGACAGTGAGACTCACCGCGTTTAGGTGTTGGAGTAACGGCTGATGAGGAGAGCAGCAGCAAGCCATAACATTCCTTATTTCTTTGTATACACATCTAGCAGCGCTTACCGAGAACAAGTCGATGTAAGCGGTGACATTCCCACGAGTGTCGGTCAAGCAATTGTGGACGATACTTCACAAGCTAAGATGGGCGCTTAGACAATAACTAGTTTTAGGTAGTGTAAATGGAGAATGTTAATGAGTATGCAATGAGTCAGAGCGGCATCCGCTACTCAGGGAGTGTAGATTGTGTGCAGGCCCTTCCTAGCTCTTCAACGCGATTACATAAATGCATATTACAACTGACAGCAGCATAACTAAAAACGGAATACGGATCAAAATTACACGGCTCTGTACCCCGAGGAAACACACGTTTGAAAAGCAAAATCCGTTTTGGTGATCGATTCCCTGAAAATTACTGGACGAACCAACGTAGATTCCACTCCCAATAAAGTGGACACACTAGGGCGTGAATAAAGAGTGAAGAACAAGAGAATGATCCATACAGAACAGTGGAAATATGCTCCTTCAGTGGGTATAATAGAAAAGCAGCGGTCTAGCGAATACACAAAGAGCCAAACAAAACAATGGAAACCATTAGAAGACAGGTTTCATCAACGTATTAGCATCATGGCACCTTAGCTTAAGGTGTGTAACACACTCTTGCTACTGTGTCGCAATAAAAGAAAAAAAAACAAAGCATGTTTTATTTTTCACACGCCAGATTTTCAGTTCTTGTCTTTTACAGTAGTTAAGTACTAAGCATCTAAATCCAAACAATTATGTACACAGGTCTACCACTGGTTTCAATTGCGCGCCATATCCTGAATAGTCTCCAGCCATCGTTACTTTTCGTCATTTGGTCCCCAAACAGGCAGACGTGTGGATCCAATGGTGGCAAGACGTGAAATCAACGATTTCATATGCTGCGCCAGATGGAAGGCTGCTCGCCACATCGTCTCCTCCATCCAAGTCCTGCACGAGTTCAATGGGTGCAGTGGGGCAAACGCTCAGCTGACAAACGCAGGAAGTGATCGAGCCATCTTAACGAGCTCAGCAAAAGCAGCTTGTTGAAGGGAATACTCGCGTTCCAGAAAACGCGATGTCTGGCTTCACTGTTGCAGAGACGTTGTTGGCAACAAACATGAGCAATCCTCCTCCAGTACCCATTGTGGAAAGTAGAGAGCCGGCGCATGTCATCTACGCGAACTGGCCATGACTCGCTTCCATATGGCAACAGCCCGAACAGTGGCATTGTAAACACGACCCTTTACCAAGAGTGAGACATCCCGACAATGCAACTAGTGTTTCAAGTTGACAAACGGCGACCGAGCTTTGGCGATGCGAAGAGAAATTTCTTTTCCAATGGTACTACCAACAGAGATACAGCTGCCTGGGTAGACAAAACTATCCACTTGTTTAAGCTGTGTAACTTCAATGGTGAGCAGGCGGACGGGCGAGTGCCAATCCTGAAGCAGCACTTTACACTATGACGGGGAAAAGCATATTCCGTACATAGACGCCTCAATCGTCAAACGGTCTAGAATGTTTTGCATGCTCTATGAGTTGTCACTAAGAAGGACAATATCATCGGCATACTCCAAATCAATTGCTCGTTTGCGCGGTAATACCTGTATACCAAAATTTTGGAAACTGTCTAGAGCTCTCGACAGGATGTCTTCGATCGCAAAATTGAAGAGTAACGGGAACATAGGACATCCCTCTTGTACACCGCTATTGACAGCGAATGACGACGAAAGCCTGCCATAGACCCTCACTTTGTCAAAGATGTGAAGGTGGAGTGCGCATAGGATATTAGTATACTTTTCGGGGACCCCATTTTTAGCAAACAACGCCATGGCGCAGATCGATCAACTGAGTCGAATGCAGCACGGATGTCTAAGAATGCAATGATGGCAGGCCTCTTGTATAAGTGGTGGTGTTCCATGACATTTGATCCACACACTCGCGGCCAGGTCGAAAGCCAGCTTGTTATTCACGGTACTGCGATTCACGAAGGGGAGATAGACTACGGAGTGGAATGGATGCCAATAGCTTGGAGGCAAACGAAAGGAGACTAGTCCCTCCGGTGGTTGGTACATGAAGTGCGAGCACGTTTCTTAAAATCGGGACAATGACCGACTCGCCCCAGGAAGAAGGCACCTTTCCTTCAAGCCAGATTTTGGAGAACAACGAAGTTACCTAGTTGATGACAACTGCGCCTCCATACTTAAACAGCTCCGAAGGAAGTCCATCTGAGTCGCAGTCTTGAATTGTTTCATGTGTCGAATCGCAAGATCAACTTCCGCTTTGCTGGGTGGATCAGGGGGTAACGACGCAGGGCGAGCAGCTGGGTTCGCAGGGCATACAAGTGGACGGTGAGGGCCAATTGAACTGGGAATGAAAATGTTCGGTTCCTTAATCCAGGCGTCTTGCCCCAATCTGTGACAGCTCACAAACGTGACAAGCGGCACTGGACAGATTAGCACTAGCTGTCCGTCACTTCGGGCTTTGCTTCGCACCCTCGAAGTGCAAAGTGTTCCTCCAAGATTTTCACGGACCGCCTCCTACGCTGACCCTTGGTGGGGATCAGCTAGAAGTCGTTCTAAAATTCAACTACCTGGGAAGTCGTATCAGCACCCGTGGGATTGAAGATGAGATCACAAACCGTATGGCAAAAGCTCGGGGCGTTTTTGCTAACCTTCGCCACTTATGGCGCCGGCGCGACATCACTCTCGCCCTGAAGGGTAGAGTGTACAATGCAGCGGTACGTTCGACCCCACTGTACGATTGTAAAACCTGGCCGCTTAAAGCAGCGGACCTGAAGAGGCTAGTTACGTTCGACCACCGGTGCCTTCCTAATTTAGCTCAAATCTGGTGGGAACACCGCATGAGTAACGATCGTGTTCGACGCCTCGTTTATGGCACAGGAAAAGGAACTGAACCGCTCAGCACCGTTATTTCACGCATCAGCCTCCGATGACTCGGCCACATGTTACGCATGTCGGCTCACCGACTCCCGCGACGTGTGTTGTTTGCGCGCCGGGGGTGTGGATGGAAGAAGAGGAGGGGTGGCCAAGCGATGACTTGGTCGAGAGCAATGAAGGCACTCACTTCTGAGCTGGCCTCGGTTGGAGCGTCTCGGCTCCCTGGTTGGGGTCCGAAAGACGATGAACACGTTTGGTCGGACACACTTGCTGATATGGCTAGGAGTCGACCTCAGTGGCGTTCCTGTGAGTTTCTTTGTCCCACCCTATCCCTCTTAGCCTCCCCCTCCAACCACGATCTCATTACTTAGCCTTATATAATTTTGCATAGTAATTTTTTTGGTGCACAGCAGCCGGCTGGTAACTTACCGGAACGATGCCCATGTGTTACCGGTAGCTCAGCCAACTTGCACCAGTTGCTTTTTCTCCTTTTTTCTATGTATTGCGGCACAGTAGCTGAAGTGTTCCCCACCTCCAGCTAACGTGTAATGTGATGATATGATGTAATCCAAGCGTCTCTGTAGGTTGGCAATCGGCGAACCATCCGCTTTGCATATAGTCTAAATGACACCAGGCTTTCTGTGGCCAGTGGATCGAATGAGCTAGAAGAGCTTGCGAGTACTGACAGAGAGGGCAGCGGCCTCCATTTCCGAAGCAGGCTGGGACCTCCATGTTTTAGGGTCACTGCTTAGGCTTTGTGTGGGCTGCCGACTGATAGAACAGCGAACTTCATTATGATTAGAATCCGCTGGGATATACCTGCGGCGATCAAATAAATCCAAAAAGCCCGTGATGCTCCAGGCGTTCACAGAGTGCTGAGTAAAACCACAGACTAACTGACCGGAAGAGGTCATAATGCTCTGCATGAACATCCAGTGTTCAATAATATCTTGCGGTGGGTTGCAATGGAGTGCACCGGCCAGGGACGACTGGTAACTGTGCTGAACCGAGAGAACAGATAGTTTATTCGTATCTACCTTACAGTGCTTCGTTTTCGGGGACCCACAAAAATTCATGCAGTTGGTCGAGCAGACAAGGGCATGATCTGAGTCAAGCAAAGTGGGCCAGATGGATCTGTAATCCTTTACACTGTCCCGCCATCTGAAACTGATTGTGATCTGATCAATCTGAGACCATGACTGAGAAGTAGAAAGGGGTCACCAAATAGCGGAAGGTCTCCTCGAATTCCGAAAGCTGGTACTCGAGAAATAAATGATTATATTTGCATAGTGTGAGAAGTCTCTCTCCATTATCTGAGCGGCTCTCACGGAGTGCATGGTGACCACCGAAGTGGTATTCGCAAGACAAGAGGCGACCGACCTATGTGTTGAGAGCCCCAGCAAGGATAATAATATCGGATTTGCGGGCTCTGCTCATGAGCTAATGTAGATCACAGTAGAACTCGACCATTAACTTAGTCAGAACTACAGTCGGTTGGAGTGTAATCTGAGACCACAAACAAGTTTCGTCTTTACTCACGGCATCTGTTGATCCTGCATGATCCTCGAAGCTGAACTGCGCATAGCTGCTGTTAATCGGGAA